TTATAGTTATTTAAATAATTTCTTATTTATAAATTATTTTCTTTTTTTGATTATCCGAAATTCAAAATATTTCCCACTCAATTCGAAATCACTTTAAACTCACATAAAACACCCACCCTGTTGCATTGCGAATGCATGAGCTCAGTTCGTAATTTTGTTATTGTAAACTTTTCACTTAATTCCTTAAATCGCATTACAATTTACAACCGTAGATAGACGAGTATTCTTGCCGACGATTAACAGCGCCGAACTATTAAAATATCATTTCATGCTTTATGATTCGTTTTCATGCACATTGCTGTTCTTGTTGTTATTGTTAAGCTCATTATACGCCAAGTTACGGTAGTTATATATTATTTTATTTGCCATTACTTTCCGTTATTTCACTTTTAATAACTGCGAGCTTTGATTCTCGAGTGATTTGCCGACGATTTCGCAATTTCACCAAACATTCGCAACACTCTCCGACATTCGCACATTGCGAAACGTTAAATTTGCTTGCGATAATTTCAGTGTTGCACAACATTGAATTTTACCTATTTTTATTTGCATTTTGACTATAATTTCTCAATTTACGTCCACATGCCGACTGCCCTGCTGCGCCGCAACAAATTGCTAAAAACTTCTCGCACAAGCGATTCAGCCGCTACTTCTAACGGTATGAGTGTGTTGTTGGCGCGTTCCGACTCCTTGCGAAGCAGGTAAGCTCGTTGCACGGCGTTGCCACGTGAGGGAACTTGAGGGGCGGCTGGTTGGGGGCAAACGATTTATTGCTTTATTTGATTTGGAGTTTAGTTGCTGTTGGAGGAGTTGCCAAGCTTGCTGCTTTGCTCATGGCAGCAGGCGGGCAATCATTCGCGCACACATACACGCACAGGTGTTAGGTTAGGTTTGTATGTATGTGTAGTTGTAGTGGCGCTAACAGGAAAACGTTCGTTGTGCTTACTATGCTATTAACTGTGTTTGTTGTTGTTTTTGTATTTATTATACTGCTTTCACGGCAGTGGCATGTGTGCTTTTACAGTAGTTGTTGTTTTTGTATTCCTTATTTATTATGTCTTTACAAGTTTTCTTAAAATACTGTTGTTGTTGTTGGTTTTTTATTTTTTTTACTGTTACACTTGTTTTTTGTTTGTGTTGTTGTTGTTGGGTTTTGTTAGGATTAGTTAGTCTCTTCACGTCGACTGCGCTGAGTGGCTTCCACGCTGCGTGCTTTTCGTAAATTCACCGTACATTTCCTTATTGTTGTTGTTGTTACTATGCTTTACATTTATATTATATTTCTGGTTTTTTGTTGGCCCGTTTTTCAGTTGCTTCTTCTACTTTTGGCTTACACAACTTATATAAGATTCAATGTTCCTCAGCAACCACTACATAGCTTCGCTTGAGCGCTTACTCACACACACACATACGCACATAGATGCCACACACACTTACACGAGTGTGCCTACGCAGATGCGCGTGTTAGTAGGCAAAAGTAGTTAAGCACACACACTCACACACAAACACACACGAATAATAATGTATGTGTGCAGGTTGTCTAAGTGATGGGGTCTCGTCTCGTGGCCGTGGGGTGGTGATGATTTCACTTTCTACCGCTTTCCATTAAATATTTTGTTTTGTAATTGCATAAACACAGCAACACCAACACCAATGTGAGTGCATCACACTAACACACACACACGCGCGTATATAACAGTGCTGGCACATAGCATATAAAGAAATATGCAGAAGCGCGTGCACTTTCTCAGCGTTGCCTTCTCGTAGTACTACAATTATGTATGTTTGTGCACACATACACACACACACACACCACTACAAATATACAATTATTGTTTGCTTGTTGTAGCTTGCTTCAATGTGCCAACTAGCCAGCCAGCTAGCCCGCGCGCGCGTGTATGCGTGTCGGTCAGGAATGTCTGTCCTTATATTATTTTAGAATATTTCTTTGTTTGCTTGTTTTTGCTTTTGTTGTTTGCTGTTATTGTTGTTGTTTCAAACACTTGTATGTTTGTTAGGGCTAGAACCCTTTTCATTATTCACTATTGGTGGCGCGTTAACTCGCATCGAAACGTTGTTAATACGAACAGAACCTCACGAAGACTAAACTAACCGTTGCATGGTAGTCCGTTATTTAGGCACCGTTATGTTCTCAAAAAGCTTTTTGGCTGCCAGTGCAAAGTTCTTGTGCTTTTTTAACGAACGCATTTGGTGAAGAGCGCAAAAAGCTACGACGAAATATCGGCTTGCTGGTCGTAAAGCAGGCCAAGGAGCTTTCATTTGCGCGCCAAATGAGCTTTTGCTAGGTGTTACAGGTGTGTTGTTGTATGAGCAACAGCAACAGCTGTGTTCTAATGGCAATTGATGACGGTTATGTGGTGAGATTGACACTAAGTTAACGGTCACGGTGGTGTCTTCTAATTACAAATTTTTAAGGGTCTCTAAAAGCTATCGAGGTAAAACATATGAGTTTTAATTTATGTGCCCTGGCATACCGGTTTACTGATTACTGCCAAGTAAGCATGCTAGGTTAAGCCATGTTGTGCCTTGTTAAGTTGAACAATGCTATGTTTATGTTATGTTATGTTATGCTAAGCCCTGTTAAGTGATACAATGCTATGTTACGTTAAGTTATTTTAGGTTAAGTTTTACAATGTTATGTTATGTTATGTTATGTTACGCTATATTACGTTATGTTACGTTATGTTGCTTTATGTTATGTTATATTATGTTGTGTTATGGTATATCATGCCATCATGTTATCATATTATCTTATGTTTTATTAAGTTAAGTTTATGTTCAGCTATGTTATGTTATGCATATTAAGTTAATATTGCATTTCGTTGTGCAATGTTAAATCTGAGAGAGATACGAACGAGAGAAAGAGAGTGTTAAAAGTCAATATTTTATACTATACAAATTACACTGACGCCTTCGCTAGATGCTTGACCCAGCTTCACCTTCATTTCGTGGTGTGCCTTATTCCAAATACTTAGAGTCCAAGAATACTTAAGACGACTTCAAAGGACATATGGAATTCATGAATAGGTACCAACAAGAATTGATATTATCCACCATATGATACCCAGGGAGATTGATGTTATAAAGACTGCTAATCAGAACTCGGAGTACACCGAGATCCTGAGTAGTGTACGGATACTTTAGACTAGGGTAATTAAACAATTATTGATCAAAATGATCTCAAACCGCTTTCCCGCTTTCATAGCAACATTTGAAATATCAGAACAACAAACATAAGAACTATGCACATCGGAAACTCTAAAAAACGACATGAGGTAGTTATATAAAAAGACATTTATTTCATATCAAACATATCCAATGACTTCTCCGAGACGAAAGTTATGTACATATTTCACAGTTAAAGAATCACAGTAAAATAAAGGTAGCGCCTTAAATCTAATAGCCATGCTTTTTGTGACCACCACTTGAGCCATAGCCACCACTTGATCCGAAACCGCCTGAACCGCCTGAACCGCCCGAGCCGAAGCCGCCACCTGAGCCAAAGCCACCACCACCACCAAAACCGCCGCCGCCGCCAGAGCCACCGCCACCAGAGCTGCCACCGCCGCCTGGTCCAAAACTACCACCACCACTATGTCCACGACCACCACCACCACCGTAGCCACCACCACCTCCAGAGCCGCCACCGCCGCCTGGGCCAAAACCGCCACCACCGCCTCCGGGGCCGAATCCACCACCACCGCCACCAGGTCCGAATCCGCCACCACCACCATGGCCACCACCACCTCCAGAGCCGCCACCACCACCAGAACCGCCACCACCGCCTCCGGGGCCGAATCCACCACCACCGCCTCCAGGTCCGAATCCGCCTCCACCGCTGCCGCCACCATGGCCACCGCCACCACCACCACCGGAGCCACCACCGCCTCCACCACCTGGACCAAAGCCACCACCACCGCCACCTGGCCCAAAACCACCACCACCGCCACCGTATTTACCACCACCTCCCGCACCGTAAGCATTAACGGCGCCCAAAACCGCTAAGGCAACAAAAATCACCTGCAAAATACAAAAGTAAAGCGTTTGATTACTTGAGAACAAGATTCTTCAGCACCTCACGAATTTACCGTAAATTTGTTCATCTTCACGACAGTTTCGCTGGTGTCTCGCCGAGCAATCAGTGAAAACTGGTTGAAGCACTCGAGAGTGGTGAGCTTTTATTGATTGGAAAATGTCGATGCAAACGAATTTGTGGCGATCGATCGAAGCAAACTAGAAATAATCGGAGATGCATCTTTGTTGTTCTACTTTTTTGCTTATTTACATGAGATGATTTGTTCGTATTTACTGTTTTGTTGTTGTATTTTTTTGTCTATCTCAATCGGCATGAAATAACCGCAAGCGTTGCTGATTGAAATGTTTCAGCGCTGTGTTAAGTACCCTACATATGGCGATAAATTGATTTATGATGACGTAACTTGATTGATGGCTTCGATCGATTTAGAATTTTAAATGAGGAATTAATGTAACTGTATATCCGGTTCACTTGAAGTTATTACACGCGCGGTATTGAATTTACATTCATAACTTAATCGTATTAGAGGGTTTTTTACACTTCTTGGAAACTTAACAAAAATATAATTTTTCTTATTAAATTTTTAAATTTGCGTATCGATTATTTCAAAAAACTTGACCCTGATTCGGAATAAAGCTTTTTTAAAAACTGTTCAAACATTTCTGTTTTCTTGTAAGCGAAGGGTTTACTCACGAAATTAACCCTGAGCTAATATAATGAAATTGGTGAAACATACCATATCTTAAAAGAATTCTTATAACCACTTTTCAAACCAACCTGCCAAAATCTCTCAAAATACCAATTGCAAATATTATAGTGCAGGGGGTAGTGAAAATTGAAGCTTGGAGATAGGAATGCTTTCAGAAATAAACAAGTGTATAAGAAAAACTCACTAAAAATTTTAGGTGAATCGGTTAAATTAAACCTGAGAAATCATGGGTATCGCGAACTGGTCGAACCAGTTTTAATAATAGTTTGAATTTTGAAAAAACCTCAACTATTCTCTTTTAGATGTGTTCTTAAATAGCTTTGCTTCGGAGCGTGCGCGCACCAACTGGATACGGTAGAGAGCGTTTCTAGCTAGCGAACAAGCGGCTGGTCAGTTGTCTACTAGCACCTGGATTAGTGGGACGTTTTTCATTGACTGGTGCAAGCCGAAAATGCAGCGTACGTTAGAGCTGAGGTACGCGATTAAAATCTGTTTGAAATCGGTAAAGATTTAGAGACGTTTAATATGATCAAGCAGGCTTACCCAGATGTTGCTATAGCAAGAAGTGGTGTGTTTTGGTAGCACCAGGCCTTTTTGGAGGGCCGGGAAGAGATCGCTGATGAAAACATGAGGAAAAATGAGCAAGTCTAAAGTGAAAACGAACCGCATTGTCTTTTTTTACATCAAAAGGCGTCGACCGCCATGAATTTGTTCTTCCTGGACAAATCGTCAACACGTAGTGTTATGTGGAAGTCCTCAGGAGACACAAACGAAGGGTCACTAGGATCCTACAAGACCTTTCTTGTGAACAGCTACCTATCCAAGACCGGCATACCAACACTTCCAAAGCCGCTCTACAGTCTAGATGTGGCCCCCCGCACTTTTTTTGTTTCCTTGCCTGAAAAAGCCGCTGAAATGGGATCCAAGCAGAATGTATCTCAGCTCTCAAGGCTATTTAGAGGATGCCTTCCAGTGCTGACATAACACAACACAATCTTCCAGCCAAGTTGTTATCAACATTATTACAACCAGACAAAAATTAATTTAAAAAAAAATTATTATTTTTCTTAAAAATCCATTTGCATGTTCAATAACGATCCAACTTACATACATACTTATGTATATGTATCATGAGATCAAATTTGACCCGGACAGATTGGTGCAATCTTTATTATCTTCGTCTAAATCTTGATCTCCATATGTCAGTTTGTGTATTTTTTTCAATGTCTGGTTAGCACCCATCTGTCAGTTCTGGCTAAAAAAAGTTCTTTACCGAAGGAAGGAGTCGTGGTTAAGTTAACCACAACTTAAATAACAGCTGCTCATCAGACACTGAGAAAACGGTTCTTAGTGTGTGGTTTGTTTTTACTGTGGAAATAATTCAACTACGAGTTTGCTTGAAATTTTCTGTTTCCAAGGAAATCACGGCTAAGGAATGATTAAAACTGTTGCTGGAGTGTTTTATGGACTTTACGACTTTTTCATACACGTATTGGTGGGACATAAAGCATACAGTGAAGGTCGTGAAGTCTTCCAAAACTTGCCTCGTGTGAATCATCCATCCTCCTCCGTCACACCAATGTCGACAACATCTAAAAAGTTCAAGAAACGGTGCTTGGAAATCTTCGGGTTAGTATCTAGGATGCCTGCGCTTGACACGAATTTTAACAGAATCTGAAGACTTACTACATATACCTCTTCCAGAGGTATCGTGGGGATCCCAAATGCTTTCAGCGTAGTCTTGACAATGCGAGGCGAGTGCGTAGTCTTACCAATGCGAGGCGAGTGCACAAGAGATGCTCCATTGTCTGTCTGGTGACTTGCTCTAGACATTTTCTGCAGTCTTCTTGATCTGTCGACCACATTCTGGGGGCATGTGTCGCCACCAGACAGTGACGAGTTAGTATTCCGATCGTGTTTCTACAGTCTCCTTTATCGAGCGACAATAGGAATTTTGTGTACCTACGACCTACCGTTTTACACATAAATTTTTCAGTTTTGCACCCAGATAGCATATTCCATCGGTATTTGATTTTCTTTACCATGCTTCTGTACAGATCGTCCTACAACGATTGGGTTTCCCAATGCTTATCACGTTTTCGGGTATTAGCCTTGGAAATCTCGTGCACTCTTTCATTGACATCGATGCCTTTGTGGCATGGCACCCAGTAGAAGTGAAGTTGCTTGCTTCTGGCAACCCTTTCTAATGCTGCCCTGCTTCACAAGACATATCTGGCCGATATGCGATAAGAGGTTACTACCTTGATTGCTGCTTGGCGGTCTAGATGTTGTCTCTAGAATTGCCTGCAGGTGCATTAGAGGCCATCTCCGCGGTTTTTGCAATTGCAAAGACTTCAGCTTGAAATATACTGAAGTGGTCCAATGCCTTATGCCTAACTCTGGGCAGTATATCCCCACCACTTGTACTAAAATACATACATGTAATGTTCGTTTTTTTGCCAATCCTTAATCCAGATGGAATGTCTGGTATGGAGAACCTCTAGAAATAAGAAAGTTTTGTTTCGATGCCCTTCAATGATGTCTCAAGATGGAATGCCATACCGATATGGCGCAAAGCTGAAGGAAATGTGCCGGATTCCGATAGAAATTCCTTAATGCTATAACGATGGACTTTCAATTTTATAAAAGTGTATGCTATTTCCGCGGAGAAAATACATGGTAAATAATAATTCATATCTAACCAGATACATTGCTAATGAAGACATTAAAAAGCTCGTATAGGGTGTCACATGCGAATAGACAAAACAACTTAATAAACCAAGCGAAATGCAGAAAGTAAAAAATAAAAACAATTTTTAAATAAAAGAAAAAATAAATAAATATGTTAGCGGTAATTGCAAATATGTAATATTCGACAACAAAATCCATTTATTCTAAACTAATCACAAACGTAAATAACTTCCATATATGCATGTATGTACACATTCAAACGGTCGCGGCGCATCTGCAGTGCTAATTACAGTTGAAGCTTGACGTGAAAAGATCACCAAAAGCACACGTGCATACATACATACTTACATATTTGTAAACACTGACTTATGACTGAATATTTTATGGTTAGATCATTGCTATGAAGCGCAGTTTATTTGTACTTCCAGTGGGAATTTTTTTCAAAATATTGTACCCAAAGGGTAATTATAATTTTTTGCAAAAGTTAGCCTTTTAACTAAGAAGCATTAAATTAAATTACAACACAGGAAAGTACATGTACAGGGTGTGCTTAAAATTTGTGTTATATGTATTTACATTTATTTAACAAAAATTTATGACTGAATATTTTTTTATTTTTATAATTTTTCTCAGTTTTTATTACGAATTTATATAATATTAATATTTTAATTAAAGTTTCGAATATTTTTAATTATAACAAAATGTAATTTTATTCACTAAGTGTTATTGCTACATATTTATCTTCAAGGCCTTTCCCGTAACTAAGTTTTCAGCTTACGAATCACCCTTTATGTATTTCATATGAGAACAGCAAATGTAGTACTGCGATGTAAAAAATGTTGTTCAGAATATTTTAAAATATCTAACAAACAAATAATAAATATAGTTGTTAGAGCTCAGCATCTGTTACAACATACTCGTATGTATGTATGTACGTACTTATAGTGTATAAATATATTCACTAGCTTAAGCGAAAATCCAGTAATTTTTAATTGGCATTTCCGGTACAAAAAATAAATCGCGTCAAACTAATAATTAATACGTGCTCTGAACATAACAATTTCAAATTTGCAAAGTTAATTGTTTTCTGGGAATAAGAATAATAAAATACAAATGTACAACGATTTAATAGTTGCGACAAGACAAATCCGACAATATTTGTGGAAGGTATATATTCGTGTTAGAAAGGAAGCTTATTAGTTAAACAATTACTTATAAGCTTAAATATAATGAATTATAAGCTTGAATACCTTGCTCCTAACAAGCAGTCACGCGTGGACCTAATGGAAATAACCCTACAAAGTTGTACACAACCACAAAAACTTTTTAACCGTTGAACAATTCTTATTTAAAGGAGATAATGCAGATTTTAAATATGCTCCATCAACATGCATTAGGCTTAGAATCGAGCTATACATAGAGATCGTCTTCCAAATTAACCTTCACGCGTGCACCTACAACTAACCATTGTAAATTATAAAATCGTAAATTACATAACCCTAAAAGGATCACAAATTATCAAAAACAACAAATACACACAATATTTTTAACTCATCCAATAAATATAGTGAAGTGTAATAGCATTGTACAGATAAACTAATGAACTACCACAACGAACATGACCGTACACCATGAGGCACCGGTGCATTGATAAGCCGCACGTCTGTTCAAATTGTAAACAATTTTGCAATTACGTTCACTTGCGCACTTATTTATATACATAATATATATTTATACGCCTGCGAGCTGACAAACTAATAAATAGTATAGTATATATTTTTTTGACATGCAATTTTGGAGTATTACAAAAAAATTAAAGAAATAAACAGGCAATAATGAAAATATTGCAGGGAGACTCATATGCAGCAGAAATATTTTTCTTTAATATTTATTTCAATATATACATATATGTATATGACCTGTAAATACATTTACAGACAAATTAGGAAACTAAGGGAACTGGCTGCTCGTCTTCGTCATAATTTTTCTTTAATAAAATATATTTCTAGAAATTATGGACAGGATTATTGATCTTGTTAGCTTACTGGATGGCACAGAAGCAAGCAACATGCGAGAGGGGCAGCGTATCCTCTTTAGAACGACAGGTTTTGCCCAGTGATATCTATTTATTTACTAAGAGACTACTTCTAACATTATTATTATCATATCGGGTCCATAAACCATGCTGCTTTGATCCTAATAAAATGACCAAAGTATGCGAATTTTTTACAATGCTAAATAAATGTTTATGTTTGTACACACTTACTTGCAGATATTTTCAAGCAAACTATGACACTGCTACTTTAGAAATAAGTTCATGTACGCGGCGGAACTGCTGCGAATATTTGCATTGAATGCATGCTGACGAGCTGCTTCCGCGTTTTCTATCGGCCATGCAGCAAAACAAACATGCATGCTTCTTTTAACATTGTATTAACTCAGTTTAAACACAACACACAATATGATTTATAATAAAATAATATACAATTAAACACAATGCCAGTTTCGACAATATTAATAGATAACGCTTACAATTTAGCGCAAATTTAATTTTAACTTGACATTTCACAAATACGTTTCTTACACTTTCCGTTCCGTTAATTGGCGTTGCCATATGCGCTTCAATAGATGCATAGAATAATGACACCGCAAAAGCTGTTAACAATGTAATTTATTCAACTTCATATCAAAAAGTAGCTTAAACAAATGCTTCTAACTATTTAAATTAACAATACTCATAAATAATAATTTTTACAGTGGAAACAATGCTATTCCAAATTAATTATGACGGCGTTGGAATTTGGTGTCGCCATTTCCATTTCTTCTCTGCTCATAACCTCATATACAATTGGCAAATGCTTATGCGTGTGTTTTCGTCTTATTGTCATTTCATCACAGCTGACAGCGATTGCGGCTATAAATTCTTACTTAAATAAAAGGGTGAAAATTTCAAATTTCATTTGATTTATTTTGACTGCAACTTATTCGGAAAGAAAATATGTCCAAGCACGATGCTTATGGCACACCTGCTAAGCCCGATAACAATTGTCGCACATGCACCGATTTTAAATATTGGTCAAAACAACAGCGGCAAATATTTCATAAGGCGGTAAGTGGTTGTACATTCTAGAAACGCGGAAGCATCACATATAAATGTGTTGAAATGTTTCATAACTGCACGATTAGTAGTGATACGATTTATTGCAGGATACGCCAAAGGAGGAAACAACCGAAAGCAGTCCAGCCGCACGAGATGGCTGCCCATTGGATAAAGTGGCACTAGGTCGTGCAACTTGGGGCTTATTACACACAATGGCGGCATTTTATGAAGATAATCCCTCGGATAATCAAAAGCGCGATATGAAAACATTTCTAGAAGTGTTGTCACGCGTCTATCCGTGTGAACATTGTGCCAAAGATTTTCGCAAAGAGTATGTCAACATTTGAATGTTTCCAATAAGTGACACACACTTAATAATTCTTTTATCATTGCAGTCTCCGAGAGCATCCGGCGCAGGTGAATTCACAATATGAATTCTCACAATGGCTGTGCAAGTTCCATAACCGCGTCAATGTAAAGCTGGGTAAAACACAATTTGATTGTTCTAAGGTTAATGAGAGGTGGCGGGATGGCTGGCTAGATGGTTCCTGTGATTGAATTAAGTATTAACCTTGTTTATACAAATATTTGATTTCAACCAACTAGGGTATTGTTGCAAAATAAACTCTTGTAAAGAGCAACAAGTGAGACAATTATTGTTGTTGCTGTAATCGTTTCATAACTGCTCTTACGTAGTTTATAACCTACTTAGATAATAATGGTAAACTTATCGTAAAATTAAAATGTAAAGATATAAGCTGTATATATCCTAAAAGCAAAAATGTCTACATTAATCTATATTTTATTAATTTATTTTATAAAGACAGTTTACTAAAAGTAAAGAGTCAAAATTTCAAATTTTAAAACCAATATTGTGTGTACTGGAAAGTAATTGAATTTCTTAAAGTAAACATTTACTTACCGTTCCAAACGTTTGGATACTAGAAATAGCTCGTTCAAACGATAGTCGATTCTAAGTAATCGGTATGGGTTATAATAAATAATATAAAAATCCGGTTCAGTTATGGTATCGGAAACCGGCTGTTGAGAATTGTAAACGTTTTCAGTACTTTCATTTTATTTTTTTTTAATATTAACCAGTCCAAATATCAGAATAGCTTAGGAAGAACAAGAATACCTTACATGCCGTATTCTGCGTTTATCGATATAACGCGCCTAAAAATATGCAACATTCGAATACAAGTTAAAAAAAAAAAAGATCGACAGATTTCCCGCGAGCGCATGCATTCGACTTACATCCAGTGTTCGGTGTTCTAACATACTACAATCAGTTTATTTGAGCCACGCGCTGAAAATTCCTAACTCAGTCCATACTGCAGTTAGTTTGCAGAATTAGTGGTTTACCTTTTGTAAGTTGTTTTTGTAACGGCATAAAATATTATATTTAAGACGATGTCAGCCCTTATTCACCTATAACGTTTGCGTTCATTGCAATTACCTGCATTTCTCTCATTCCTGCTATCTGCCGAATACCTTTTGAAATATTATATATCCAAATAAGGAAAAAAATTGCACTTCACATTTTATCTAGTTATTTATTTATCATTACATAACTGATTCAGTTTCAATTTGAATTTTTACTATGAAATAGCCTGTATCTGCTTCGCATATTGAAACAACTTTCTACGTAAATAATACATAATTATATAGATGTGGGAGTGTATTATGTTTTAGTTGGTAGTTTTGTCAGCATTTTCCCTTCAGCGCAAAAGCAAGGATGTGGGTTTGTTGTTTACTCCCACACGCACACAAAAATGTCTATTTAGATTCTGCCGGGGAAGGTACCCTCTTCGCGTTGATCGTTCCATCTTTCCACCCAAGCATTGGGGCACATCGATGAGAATACTTTCTTGAAGTAGTTGCATGGCTCGTATTTTTCTCCACGCACCTTCTGGCAGCGATGGTAGTCAATGTACGATTGATAACAGTAACGAGTCACGTTCTGGTTGGGGAAGCGTGGATCGAAGGGCGCTGTTTCCATTTTGTACGTCATGGTTTTTTCTTTGCCTTTTTTAGACATGGGAAATGTTTATTATAAATTACTGCAATTAATAAATCGCAACAACAAGAAAAAGGCAAAGCCAAGGAGCAAGCGAGCGATCGAGCAATATTTGATGATTTTTATATGAAAAGTACACGGTATACAAAGACATATAAGAGAAATGGTTGATTATGGTTAGTCATATTATGAATATCATTCATTTCGTTTAGAATCAGTACATATACAATGTACATATATCAATGTCTACAATTAATTTTAAATAGATCAAATCAATATGTATTTCTTAGTACACATATGATTGAGGAAGTGCATTATATATAAAAAAATATAACGTAACAAAAGATAATATTTTATATAAAAAGGATTAAAAAGAATAATTTAAAAGTAATAGTTAAAAACAAAATGTTTTGATATCTCTGAAGTCAATTTAAACACTTCCAACGAAACTGTGAATATTTCTTGCGCATGTTATATACGAAGTTGCCACTTTGTCGGTCATTATAAATGCAACACATTTTTTTATCAACTTGTGCAGGAATTGTACCGAAAAAATTTAGTACTTTTCTACACTAAAACCAATTTTATTTAAGTAATTTATATTAAATAGGTGAAAAAGTGGATGTTCATAGTGAATATGCGTTTATGTGGCTGTAGGTATAGCTGTTTGTGTGTGTTTTGAAGCGCTTAACAGTTCAGCTAGTAGCATGGATTATGTCATTTAACAATAATTGACAGCAAACAATAAAGGAAAACATTTTAAATTCGGCCTGGAAAGACACCGGCTTCCAGTTGTTCATTCCACTTTTCCACCCAAGCATTCGGACACATTGTTTTGAAAACTTTTTGAAAATATGCGCATGATTCATGCCCTTCACCACGACTCTTCTGACAACGATGGAATTCCACATAGGAAAACCAGCAATGTCGCGTCACATTCGAGTTTGGAAAACGTGGATCCATCGGAACGGTTTCCAACTTATATTCGGGTTCTTTTGCTTTCTTTTGTTCTTTTTTCGACATTGGCAATTTTCTTGTTGCTCTTCAATCAATCACTTCACGTTATGTAATATTCATATATGTATGTATATATATTTTTTGAATTTGGATTTTTGCAAACGGAAAAATTATGAAAATGATGCATGAATGTTAGTTGAGGGTAAAAAATTAAATGAGAGATTTTAAAAAGACGATAAACTAGAATAAAAAGTTTGTAAATTAGTAAAAAAAACATAGAAATTAAATGTTATGAAACTAAAGCGTACTCATAAAATAACACTATATAATATATATGTATGTTGTTTACACGTATATGACGTAATAGATAGCAATAAATAAATGCTACCCAAAACAAGATTGTAAAAAAAAATTTTAATTTGCTGATCGAGTGCTCATTCAGTTATTTCTTTCTATTACTTCATTATAATACCCACTTAGCCTATAAATAAAATAAAAACTTACAACTACTTTTAGCTTTAAAATGAAAATTATTCACAGGAAATTCGAAGAAGTGGAATTGATTCGTAATTCATTTTAAATAAACTCCTATAATTTATATATGTATGTATATTGTTTTTTAGGTTTATGCACAGAATTCATGTCATTTTGGGGAAAACTCGAAGTATTCATTTCACTCAAGTTCTATTTAACGTCTATTTAGGTTCACTTAACCAGTGGCCTTGTGCCGCCGTCCGAATCACACGCGTGATTTTTATATTTGTTAACCTCTGCCAAGTACAGCGACCAAAAGTCTTTCGGATCATCACCTTGTTCAGCTTGAGCTTTTGGCTTAGCCACCACACCGGTTTTAAGAATTTTTCCACCACGCCGACGTCCGACTATCGGCGGTGGTGGTACAACTTTGTTACTTGATGCGGCTGCATTTGAGGTAGACGCTAACACAGGTGGCGCCACGATAGGTGCAACAATGGCAGGCGCAGTGGCAACTGGTACATGTGGATGTTGTTGTTGGGCTTGCATTTTTTTGAAAATCTCCAAAAACGAACCATCATTTGCAAATACTGGATGTGAAGCCTCGGGCTTTTTCGGTGGATACACCTTGCCTTCCTTAGCAAGTGCTTGTCGCAATTTCTCTTCCATTTCACGATGTATGCGCTCTTTATCGATTGGTTCATCTGTATCGAGGTTGTAGTATGCTCCAATGGGTTCACGCTTGGGTAAAGGTAAATGTTGCAGATCTGGCGTATTTTGCTGATCGAAATCTGTTGTTTTAGAACGACTGCTTTCCGTTGAATTATTTGTAGAACACTTCGCTCCGTTATCATATTGTCTTCGATCAGCATCCATTATATTACGTGAACGTTTTTCTGGGCTGCGTGAGCGTGAATCCCTTTTGCTACTACGATGTGAACGTGTATTAGAACGACTACGAGAATCTCTATGTCGTCGGCTAGAGTTGTTTCTATCTCTTCGATTGTAGCTTCTACTGCGACTACGACTACGAGAACGTCTGTTGTTACGACGCTTACGATAGTCTACAGATTGACTACGACTACGGCTGTCATTGTAGCGACGATGACGCGAACGACTACTGGAGCGGCTGCGTCTTTTTCGTTCGTCCCTCCGCGTATCGTGATCATATCCAACATCACGTTTCTGCCGGTGACTCATAGAAGACATTTCAGTATTTTATTTTGTCAGCCGTTGGATGTGTGTTGTTAATATCTGTAAATCAAACTATAGCCCTTTTAATAAATCACATTACAATTGCGCCCTGCTGCTGTTATACTCATAACAATCTTTATACGATATTGAATACTATTATGTATTTTTTTTAACGATATATTTTCTTGTTCATTATCAAAGTGCAGCAAAGTGACTGTCTTTGACTATTTGTAATTAGAAATTTTGAAGTAATTTGGAAACAAGAAAATATTAACGATAAGTGTTAAAGAAATATATGAAATTAATGTATGTATTTCAATGCTAAAAAAAGGACATTACATGTTCGCTCTTACTGTATTCTTCCACTTTTGCGAAGCACCAAGTTTTCACTATCGTGTGTTTGGTGGGCAAATGATTCGTTCCAAAGTTTCTCTATCCGGCTTTGTTATGCAGTACAAATGCTGTCGTAGTATAGTTGATATTTATCAGTTGAATTAACTATTTTTGCGGCTCAGCGTGTTACAGTTGGGTCCTATTCATGGAAACGTTTTTTTAAAATTCCTGTGTAAAAAATGAACTTGAAGGCATGAATACTTCGTGTTTTCCCAAACTGTGCATTTCAATTCATTATCTCTTCAAATATATACTTAAATATTTGTTTTCAGTTTTTATACCCTTTAACATAAGAATATAAACGAGTTGTCCACATTTAAAACTTACTCGAGTCAAAAAATATTTGTTATGTAATTTTATTTTAAACCCCCCCATGTTAAGAACTTCGCGAGCAGTCGTCACCGCCTAGACAACTATGCTGAATTATCCATCAATTCCATTCCTTTTCAAATTTTTTCCAAGACGTATATAAAACAAATATAAGCAAGCACCATTTTCTGAAATTTCCATACCTTGAGGTCTCCGAAAGAGCTGTGAAAATTTATTACTTTTAATGTAACTAGATGTTACGATCCAATGTGGCTGCTTGAGATTTTTCGTCTAAAATCAATATGGCGATTGACGGAACGATTCACAATCGGTTACCGCTGAATTGCTGAATGTTACAGGGTTGCTGCTGGGTTAATAAGATAAATTACAAAAATTATTTTTATATGTGAGTTGTTATCATTATTTGAAATTCGCTCAAAATGAAACCATAAAAAGCAGAACCGACTAGAATTACTTATTGTAATTCATTATTGAAGGAAACGAATTACTCTAAACTCAACACGAGGTTGATTTCAGTTACTGCAAAATACTACAAATCGATTGAATTTGTTAACTATTTTACATTATCTCTTAGCTACTTGAAGCGCTGCAAATACTGTTATTACATTTTCTCACTTTTTAGTGAATTATTTAAATTATTGGTGCAGATAGCAATATATTATGTAATTTTATTTCTACACATCTGGCAACATACGTAAGTTAAGATAAAAAGAAATGTGTTGACAGAACATTTGACAGCTAAAAGCGCCTGTCAGAGAACGTATTTACACTGCCCACCGCTTGTCAAAGTAATTGAAGGCACAGTATAACAGTATTATAAATTGTACTTTGGTTGGAGCAAGTGGATGTGGTGTTGAAGAGGAATTGATGTTGCGCAAAAATAATTAAACTGCTCTAATAGATATTATTAACATATTTTTCGGTTTTCGATAAGAAAATTAAAGCAAAAACGTGTGCACAGAAAACCAAATCCGATGATAAAATTGTTTACTGGTATTCTTAACGCGATAAAAAGGAGTAGTTTGCTACATACTGCAAGCTAAATAGTGTGAAATTTACTTTCTTGCCGTGTAAAGCAATAAGGCGGAAATTCAAGATAAGTGAATAAAAAAAATTTACAAGGTTCTATTAACGTGTTAACGCGTAGAAAAAAGATAAAACGGTTAGTAATAAGTGAATTTTCTGGACGTATTCAAGTGATTGAAGCGTTCGGCAAAAAGGCGTGTGACAGTAATTTCGACGTTGTAAAATCCACAAATTTTGCGGAAGACCAACTGGCGTAATTGGAAAACATGGCACCAGCGCTAAGTAAAATAACACAAAATCAGAGCGCCATAGTGGGAGTGGCGGGTGTTTCTGCCGCTCTTTGGATAATTGCTTATGGCAAAATGTCCAGCAAGCGTAGGTGAGTGTGAACTTTGAAACATCCATACATACATATGTACATATGTATGCATATATTCATTAATTACTTGCTGCTACCTTCCTTATACTTTTATTGAATCTTTGTTGTTTGTTAGACATTAGAAAAGCGGTTTAAAAACTTTAACACTGACATTGCAAAAAAAGTAAATTTGGCGCTAAGATTTCCATTCGCCGTCTATTGTTTGCATTGTGTATATTGTGTATGCGTGTGTTTATGCTTTAGGCATTCCGGTTTTTAATAACACATAATGGAAAAAATGGTCAGCATGCAAATTTCCAGTTTTCAAGTGCAATCGTTTAGACTAAATACCTCGGAAGCAAATACCCAAAATTTTGCTGTTGCTATCATTTTGTTGTTGTTAAGCGTCTGAGTCGCCAATCAGCATTAAGTCTAAAGCAATTATTTATTTTATTTTTTATTTATTTATAAAAGCTTATACAATGTTAGTAACATGTGTACAACCTAAAACATGCAGCGCTAGCTTCAGAGGCTATCAGCTGAAAAGCAATTGTATTATACTTAAATGCAGTTATACAAATGCTGCTTAATATGTACATATGTTGTTGTTTTTCTTCGAATTGCCTTCTTTGGTTTTTCGTGCTAGTCACGATCAGCCTTACTACCTTTAGTAATTTAGTTTTTTCTTGTGTTTTTATTTATTTTTTGTTACTTTCTATGTTCACATCTTTATATCTACCATCTGAATTCGATTTGCTTTAATTCTCTCTACAACAGATATATAACTGCCGTTGATTAAGCTTCTATTTGCAGCATCGTGTAAATCTTTCACAATTAGAAGCACAACAACAATAATTGCAGTTTTATCATTGCACATAGAAGTAAATGTGCAGTAAGTTTTCCCATTATAAGCGCATTAATGTCGTTGCAATATATACATACATATGTGCATACAAACATATGAAAGTATGTGCTCACCATTCAAAGTTTTTTTTTTTTCTGTGACCAGCTTTTTTGCGTCTTCCCTTTTGATTACACGATCAGCTGAGTGCGCTGCATAAGTTGTCTGGCAACTACTATCTGTTCGATGTCCAGAGATTTGTCCAAGTTTTCATATATTAGTGTATTTATAGAGTTTGCTTTTGCAAGGAGATTGTAGGCAATACATACAAACAAAATGCAGTAATATGCAGTTTGTTTACAAACACCTATTAGCACGTTCGCTACTTCAATTTAATACCTCATTTTTCTTGTATTCGTCTTGGTTTCGTTATTTAGGTCATTTGACTTTTTCCATTTTCGATTTTATTTCTGCATGAAGAAATATGCAATTACAGGTGAATGAAAAATTGCGTGTTACACATATGAAAGGGTGTTTCAAGTTAAGGCAAAATAATTTGTATCGATTCGAGAAGGAGACTCTGAATTTATTTTTCATGTTAGTTCATGAATGTACTTATTAGAATTTTGTATAATTCTTCTAGTATCACCTGATTTTTCTTTGTTGTTCTTTGGTTTTTTTTTACACTCATACTTATGTTTTATAGGGAAAAGTTAATGTACTTGTAATGCAGCCATTACTCCTTGTTTGAGTATAGTAAATCAAGGGTTGGCTTAAAAATGTTAATTACACAAACGAGCTATATTTTTAGTGCATGCATATGTATTCTGCTAGTATTATACATACACGATTGGTACGCATAAGCGTCCACTCCCTTTCTTTGCATTTATGTATGTGAGCCCACCCTTGTTTTCTTTTTAATTTAACACTTGATTTTAAATAATTAAAACCGTTGAACTTATTTTTCATTCACTATTCAGGAAGGCAATATATGGCTCCTGTTAATGTTAAACATTTTTCTGTTATTGCTTTGTTAAATAAGCTTTCAATGTTAATATGTTGATATATTCAACACCTAGAGTGCGCATCAATTAAATACTAGTGTATAAATAAGCATATTGTATTAATTTTGTAGACCACCTTCTCGGGGTCAGAGTATGCTCCACGCATATATAATAGTATTTTAATAAAAGCGAAGCGGTAGTTTAATCACTCTCCTTGGATATGTTGAGAATGCTTTATGCAATACAATTGTTAAAAAGCGATTAATGTAAGCAATTAAGAAAAATATAAGTGACTAATATGTTTCTACCTATTTTTGTAAGGTTTGCTTTAAATTATTTGCTTTGAGCTATATAAATTTATACATATCATTTACTTGCATTTTCAATTCAATATTATGGCTTCTTTTTAGTGAATTTAGAGTGGCATCTGGAGTTAATTTGTTCCTTCCCCCTTGAGTTTGAAAATTAATTATAGTGAGCAACACATCAAAATAAGGTGAAATAAGTACATACATATGTGCATATGACGAAAACTTTTGTTTATAAAGAAAAATATGAAAGATAAAATACATAGGGTACTTACAACTTGTCTTAACGCATCGTAAAATTATAAAATCATAAACTTTTACACTTGTGTAAGAAAATTCTTGTTATATTACATACAAAAATGAGTTCACGATATTACAATTCTCAACGCTATGTTTTCGGTTCATTATAATTCATAGCTTTATGACTGTATGAAACCCCTAATAGTTTATATTTCAACTCAAAATTATATAGTATTGATAAAATATTACCATACTTGAGATTAGGAAAAACTAGAAGATAAAACGTTTGAATGAAAGTTTATTTAATTATGTACTTAAGTGCATTTGTGTAATTATATAATATATGTATGTACATATGTATATGCATGCCGCAGTTCTCGATAAAAAATTGTGTATATTGTTTTATAATATTAGTTATTCATAGATTTATTCGTATGTAAGTATGTGCGATACACATCGTTCTGGGAAAAAATTTAATTTGTTAATGGTATAACATTTTGAAGGGAATTTTTGATATCTGTCTGCTCCGAAGCTACAAGTATATACGGGCATGACTAAATCGATATTCACAATACTATATTTTAGAGGATCTCCGTCGTTTCCTGCTTGACAACATCAAATTTCTTGGCAAAGTTAATCTACGCAGGGTATAGGCTGCCTAAAAACATGTGGAATTTGCAAAATATAATTTAATCGCATTTGTTAGCACTCCACACCGCCCACCCAATCATACTCCAACACTTATACATATCTACATCGATTTATTTATATAGTATTATCTATGTATATATAAAAAATATTATTTGTACAGCACATGGTGATATGCGATTACAAAGAACTTTAGAAAATGTGATCATAGAGTGAGTGACAAAGCTAAAAAGTCATTGACGCATGACTCAATATACGCTCTAGTCTGAAAAAAGTGAACTTTGAACATTTAATTTATTTTGTTTTAATTTTAATTTTAGAAGTATATGCTCTACTACTGCTTTATGTTTAGCATTTTTCAATTAGTTAGTCTTTTTTTTCAAATGCTGACATAATTTGTAGGCACTATAAAGGGCGCATTCAATAACTAAATTCAATTCTAATGAATCTGATTTGTTAATTATGTTAAAAGTATTTCCATAGACATACTTGCATATGCATATACAGTCATAAATACCAAGTTGTCCGCACATGCATGAAGTTCCCGCTGAAATTGAGCTGAAATAAAAAGAATATTGATTATGATTTTCATTAATTTGTAGCGCTTTATGATAAGTGGTTAGAAAACAGTTAGATATGTATGTTTTCAAACGGACTGTTAAATTCATATTAGTCAAGCAATGAACAATATTGAATTTACATTTACGCATATGTGTGAACTTCCATTAACTTTTTTGTTTAAATCAACACGCAAGCGGCAATAGTAAAACTTATATTTACTAGACTTTGCACTGCTGCTAACAAAAAAGGATTATAAACAAAAACATAGGAATAAAATCAAAAAAATGTCCTCACAGTTGCATTTCTCATAGTACAAAGAGTATTTT